ATAATATCAATAATAATTTCGTTTTTTTGTGTAGGGACAAGGGAAGAAATAGACGCAGAGAATATCGTGCAGAGTTTGCATGGAGGATTACCAAACGACTATAAACGTGCTCTCCGATCCTATAGACGTTTATAATGATTGGATAGATGCCTGCGAAACGGCTAATTGATTTTGTGATATTATTTAACCAAATAAATATTGAAATTTTAACTTTATTTCTTAAACAATTTTTTTAATAATTAACGTGTTCTTTACTTAGTGAATGTAATTATTTAATCATACTGAATAAAATTTTAATAAATGAGAAAGAACATTCATTAATTATTTAGTAATTATTTCATTTCCAGTTTTCACGGAACACTTATTAACTTTTGGGAAATCCTGGTTAAGCTCATGTTCTGTGAACTAACAACAACCACGAATGTTTTCGACCAATCGAACATCTTAATAACTCGAGTTAAATAGCTGACTCAATAAAGTGGAATCAATTAATATCTTTTCAGTTTTTATAAAAACCGGTTTTCGAATTTAAACTTTTCTACAAAAGCGGTTTTCGAATTTTCACAAAAAAAATAGAAAAATATAACTAAATAAACTCTCTTGAAACAAATCTTAAAAACTTCTTTAATATTACATAGAACTATAAAAAAATAAAAATTACTATATAGAAAACTATACTGATGAACGAATAATAATAATAATTTATGTTATTTTGGACTGTTTGCATTTAAATTTCAAGGAGAGGGAAAGGTATCGGCCGTGGAGAGGGACTATTTTCGTTTTGGAAGGTTAATTTTGGATTTGAGTTGTTAGGAATGGGAATTGAGATTGAGTTTAGGATCAAGAAAGATTCCAAGGTATTTAACAAGTGGTGAAGGGAAAATGGAATGATTATTTAACATCGCATATCCCCGATGGTAAGGAATAAGGAGTTTGGTCTTGGATGGGTTAATTTTGAGACGCCATTTTTAAACCATAAAATGGTCGTGGATAGGATGTTTTGAAGGTTAAGAATAGAGGATTGAAGGAAACAGGCGTGGGAAATCAATGTAGTGTCATCAGCGTATTGGAGGACATAGAGGTTGTGATCAAAGATATTGGGATTGGGGCTATACATATCACAACAAAAAAGGTTATATAACAGTGGAGACAAAGGGGAGCCTTGCGGGACACTCTGAAGCGGGGAAAGGAAACTGGAGAAGGAGTTGCGGATCTTAACTTTAAGGGAACGATTATTTAGGATGTTTTTGATGATGCTGATGAGGTAAGGTGGGAGATTTAGAAGGAATAGTTTATAAAGAAGATGCCAGACTCTGAACGCCTGGACACGTCAATGAACAAAGCGCTCGAGTTGCCATTCGAGGTGAGAGGTCTGGAAGTTGGAAGCGAGGATAGTAAGGGAAAGCATAGTGGACTTTCCAGCTCGGAAAGTAAACTGGTAGGCGGGAATGGAATTATCTAGATGGGAAAGGATTTTGTTTTTAATGAGGGATTCGAAGGATTTTCTGATAACGGAGAAGAGTGTTATTGGACGGTAACCGGAAGGGAGAGAAAGGTCACTATCACTTTTGGGGATACAAACAATTATACCGTACTTCCGCAAGAGATATATTGACGGACGAGACAGAAGTTAAAGATTTTAACTATAAAGAAGTGGACATCTGGATAAATGAGTTTTAAAATTTTTCTAGTAACAAGGTCGTAACCAGGGGCAGAGTTTTTAGAAGATGACAGGGTGTCGAGAACATTTTCATTCACATGTCTTCATTCTGTTTAGTTAATATATGAAAATAATAGCAGAAAGATATCGGTAATCTACTTTCAGTGAAGCAATTTAAGAAATTCTATAAGCGAAAACATTTTCTATAGTTATTACTAAATAAGACCATTATGGCTGTGCAAATCTTTGGTGGAAAGATCCATAAAAATGTTGTCATTTTCATTTTTTGTCTAACGACGATGTTCCTGTTGATTTGGAAGAAATTGTCAAGACCTCCCCGCCGCATGCGAAGCCACATGCTTAATTCTCTCCGTCGACGAAACCTGTGAGCTACTCAATCGACCCGTTAAGGGTATGAGAGGATATGAAATGTTGAACATAAGATGAGCTTTCTTCACTTAAAGGTTTTAGCGGGAATGCCTGCAATTTGAACGATTTGATTTGCAATTTATTTTATTGTTTATAATCTCAGTCCTTCGGTATTAAAACTCCAGACTTTACAGAGGGAAGAAACTCTCTGGTAAACAGACATCACTCTCGAACTAAAGTAGTCATTTATTCTGAAGACTGTTTTACTTCTGAAGTCTGTGCATGACGCCCAGAATTCCTGGGCTCTAATGACAAGACATTTTCCTAAAGTGTTTTAAAATAGTTATATTATTCCTTGTATAACGACGTCATCAATGTTTTGCTAAATTGGAGGAGCAACTTTTTTTTTGTAAATTCTCTGTTGGTACTCCGTTTGGTCATAATTGTTGGATAATACATTGAATTTTAAAACAAATTTTGTTTAATTTGTCTAGCCTTATCACTTAACTCTAACGTTTTTTCTCATTATTTCTATGATCTTTGCCAGTTATAATTGTGTTGTAGTTTATTGTATAAGTCGGTTTAGTTACAGTTTTATGGTGATTTCGATACCCATACTAAATAACGACAAATACTATCATTGCCAATAGTCATCAAATGTCATAGTAACAATGTTTTGAAGATGCTCGATGATAGAGATCGGAGAGTCTTACGATGAAGGAAACACAGATTTTCACCGTGGTATATATTTCCACAGGATTTTTTTTTGGATATAAGTTTAATTGTATACATCCTTACTACAAGTAAAATGGGGATATTATTTCTATTATTTTACAACAAAATTTTCAAATACATACTGTAATCAACATAAAGTTTCATCAAAATTGAATTACTTAATTCAAGTTTTATGAAAGAAAATCTTTTTGAACATAATGTCTGAAAAGATCTTCAGGAATTCTTTATAATCCACGAACTGCGCGAATGCTTGATTATATTGTTGTTAACTGATATCTTCCCAATTAGGGTTTATACAAAAACTGATTTTTAAAAGATCGTGTAAGTTAGAAAATAACTTACACATGTCCATGTTTTGAATTTTCCCCAAAAAAATGGACAACAGTGTCGAGCCGACCAATTTATTATCATCTATTGTATAACTAATATGTATATTTGTTAAGTCTACTATTTTCCTTTCAATTATTACAAATCATATTTAACGTATCCATCAAATATACAAACGAATACTTGTAACTGATTATTTAGAATAACTTGTGGAACATTCCGAAGGACGGTTACACTTTGATAAAGAAACGGTTGAATAATCCACAAGCTCAAAACTGATTTCCTTACCTCCCACACAGCCCATTTTTTGAAATGAACACATTTTTGTATTATATAATTTAGTCTTAGCTAGAGGGTCGAACTAAGAGGAAGTCTTACTTGGAGTGCCGAAGGAAGAGCACTTACTTCCTAAATACTAACTTAAGAGGAGAATGTAATAATCCATGAGATCAACTATGACTTCTCGATAAAACTCCGATGTATACAATAAAGTTAATTGAGAATATTGCATTTAATATTCAAAAACCCCTCTAAGACTCCATAACGACATAACTACGAGATAATCCACGGTGTCCAAGAATTTTTAATCCTTGTAAGCAACGCGCTCCACGGAATACAGTTGTTTCCCACGCACATACACCATATGGATTTTGAAACTCCCCGATGAGCCCACCACCAAACAGCTGACCGCGAAGATTGCTGGCAGCAAAAGCAGCGTTCTCTTCAATCCCAATTTCGAACACGACGGGTGCTATCGCGCACGAAAAATACCAAATATAAAAAAAATATCTTCAATCAACTTTCGCAGGGGTAAGTAGAATAGCACTAATATTCGAAAATAAAGCATGAAAACCAAAATTGAGAAAACGATTTTTCATAAAATATATTACAAGCTGAGAAGTTATTTTGCAGCTGAAAAAATTCATTCTGTACTTCTTCGGGAATGTTGGTAACATCTAAAGATACATGAAATTGATTTCATACTAACGCAGTTTATTGTTCAGAGAACTCAGTGAAATATCGTTGAATTTCAGATTCAATAAGTTTCTTTCTAAGATTTCATACAAGTCCCGTCTACCATTCATCAGTCTTCGAGAAAAGTGTTCAAACATGGCAAAGTTTCCAAGATTTACTTTACGGCGACAGTTTTTGCTGCTTTAATACGAAATAGTTCCAGACGATTAAAAAAAAACTCTTAAAAAATATGAAAAATGAAGTGTTGCACGAGTACCTCAGTGACCTTTCACCCACTAATGCCACTGAGTATTCATTGTGGGGGCAACCAGACTAACACAACGACCAAAACTGAGGGAATCACCACTTCGTAAACCTGACTATAGTTGGGCGAGATGTGATAAACAGAAGGCGTATTTGCTCCATTTAGAGTAGCACAGGCGGAGAAAGTGATTTGTCATGATATAAAACTTAGGAAATCACCAGGTTATGATCACTACAGAGGTCTTGAGGCAACTACCATTTATTGGCTTAACTGCAGTGTAGAAAAAAAGATCTTCGTGATCAGAGTTCATGTTTCTCTTAAAGGCATTTACTGAGTCTTGATAGCAAAGGTAAATCGATGAATCATGAAGTATAATTCCTTTGCTTGGGGTGCAAGCTATAAAACTTATGTGTAACGTACCAATGGAGCACCAGTCATTACTTTCAAAGTTTAGTTTTGTAGATGAAACGTTCAAGTAAAATTAAATTTTTGGATTTTTAAGCCAACCTTATGTCGTTTAAAAAAGTACAAGATTTTTGTAGTGTGTTGGGAATGCACTGATTGACGTGAGTGAAGATTTCATAGATTTAGCATTGAAAACAGCATTGCTTTTCTGTGACGTTACAAATAACAGTCGACAATGAATATGTTTATTCTATAAATATTATTACATTATTCAATTAGATGTGATCAAAATCTTCTCGATTCTGCTTTGTGGTGATGCTTTCCCTCAATGTTCATTTCATAATCAACGTCGGGCCCAACGAAGCAGTTCCGAATTTCATCGCTTGTCTTTCCTCTAGTTTCCGGCACGTAGCTCATGGTGAAAAGCACCGCGAACAGATTGAATGCGGCGAAAAGGTAGAACGTAAAGTTATCGCCGTACTTATTGCGGACCAACGGAAATGCAGCCGTGACTGCGAAGACCATCGTCCAATTGAACATTGTGGCAATTCCGCATCCAGTGCTCTTGAAGCTCGGTTGAAACATTTCGGCAAGCATGAGCCAAGGTAACGGACCAAACCCGACGCAGTAGGCAATTATGAAGACGATAAGCGATATCAAAGGGATGAAACTGAAGTCGGCGAGGATCTCGTGGAAATGGAAATACGAACCAAGGACTAGCAACGAAACGAACATCAGGCTGCCAGAAACGGAGAGGTAGAATGTGCGTTTAAACTTTTCGATGATTGAAGCCGAAATGATGGAGAAAACTAGTTGAACGGCTGCGACAATGATGGAGGAGACTTGTGGTGAGAGGTTGCTCTTACTGGCCGAGAAGATGGGCGAGGTATAAAAGATGATCGCGTTGATACCGCTCAGCTGTTGAAACGCGACCAAACCTAAAGAAACCAGCAGAGGTTTGTAGTTCTCTTTTAAGAGTACAGATCTTATGGAGCATCCATCGCTGCGATTGCGTTGATGTCTTGGCGGATCTTTGATGGTAAACAGTAGAACAGCGTATAACACAGGCAGAGTAGTTAAGATGTAGGAGAGCGTTCTCCAAGTCGTCAGTGCTCCGATGCAGTTAACTCCTAGGATACCCAAGCAGAATCCCAGTTGGAAGAACGATCCCAGGATTCCGCGAATCTCAACGTCGGCTATCTCACTTATATACATTGGTATGCAAACGCAAGCGGCTCCGCTCGCGAATCCTCCTAAGAACCTTCCAAACAGGAGGATTTTTAAACTCCCCGATGAACCCACTACCAAACAGCTGACCGCGAAGATCGCTGACAGCAAAAGCAGCGTTCTCTTCAATCCCAATTTATCCGCAATCAAACCGGATGGTATGGCCGATGTGATCGCTCCTATGGCTACTATCGATCCCACCAGACCTCCTTCCGTTTCCGTTAGAGGTGGTTGAATAGTGGATGCAACGTCGGACAACTGCAGAAGAACTGGAGACGTCCAGGCCAAAATGCTACCTGCACAAACGCATCCGACTGAAACTAAAATAAAAAATCAAACATCGAATTATTGCTCTCGTTGCAGACTACACTTACTCACCTATTGCGCTCGATCGATATTGACTTTTTCTGTCCATTTTTTCTCATTTCTAACTCGATCTCTTTCATCGTTTTTCTTTTTATACGATACGATCCAGATTAATGAATGCATTCGTGTCAAGCAAATACGTATTGTTATTCCACATTTATCTCGATTGTCACGCGAGCAAATACCGAGATTGTCACAACAATAATCGGAACTGTTCAATGCAATGCTAAATCCAATCAATTGTTTAATTGAAGTTTGCAAAATAATGGTTTGTGGCTAAATACTTATTACTGTAATTGTACACCATGTTATATTCATTAATATGTAAATAATCTTTTCGTTATTTACAAACTGAAAGTTTGTTTTATTATATCTAAAACAAGAAGCAAAGTTTGACCTGTCTATATTTATCAATTTGGGCTACTTTATCCCAAGCCTCCTCACCATTTCGTCTATTTGGTTACAGTAGACATCCGCCGTAATCGATTTAGTAGGTATCATGAAGCTCTAGTGTTGGACTACCAAAATAACACCATTATTTTTTTTGAATAAATATTCTGTTTTGGCATAATTATTGGTGGCGAATGCTTGCGATTGTCGAAAATAATCAATTTTTCGTCATACATAACAATATTGCGTAAAAATGTAGAGTAGAGTAAAGAAAATTGAAGAATAATGTAGAATGAAGAGTGGAGTAATGTAGAATAAAGAGTAGAGAAATGTAGAGTAAAATACAATAAAGAGTAAAGAAATGTAGTATGAAAAGTAGAGAAAAATACAATAAAGAGTAGAGAAAAGTAGAGTAATGTATAATGAAGAGTAGAGAAATGTAGAATAAAAAGTAAAGTAAAATACAATAAACAGTAGAGAAATATAGAATGAAAAGTTGAGTAAAATACAATAAATAGTAGGGAAAAGTAGAATGAGAAGTAGAGTAATGTAGAATGAAGAGTAGAGTAAATTAGAATAAATTAAAATTACTCTTAAATCTATCTTTATAAAATAATTAGGTTGTTAAAGTAGAGAGTTATTTTGATGTCAATAGATTTTTAAATAAAAATGAAATAATTAATATGATATAAATGAAAGAATAAGTATAATAAAAAATATTCTTTATTTAAATTATTACATATTTACAAAAAAAATTGAAAGTAATGCCTCAATTGGACTAGATCAAAGGAAACAGGAAAACATGTCTGACACTTCTTACGGTGACAGTTCGTATATTTCGATGTATTCATATCTTATCGTCTGTTATATATCTCTCCGCTCGAACGTCTGTCTCTGTGTGTGTGTATGTATATATACTGGTGACTAGAATGGTTGATGTGAATAGTACTTCTTGGGTCAGGGAGCCGTGGTCATTGATAGATGTCCGTTGGCGGTGCCGTGGACCCGCATGTGCCTATTCAGGTTGCCGCTCTGCGAGAACCTGAGCAGACACAGCTTGCACTCGTAGGGCTTCTCTCCCGAATGAATGCGTAGGTGTTTGGTGAGGGTGCTGCTGTCGGAGAAGGCCTTCTTGCAGAGTCTGCATCGGTACGGTCGTTCGCCGGAATGGGTGCGCATGTGAGTTGTCACCGAGGAGGACTGCGAGAAGCGACGGTCGCAGACGGGACACCTGAAGGGCTTCTCACCGCTGTGCGTCCTCACATGGGCGGTGAGGTTCGCCGCTTGCGAAAAAGATTTGTTGCAATCGATGCAACGGTATGGTTTTTCTCCGCTGTGCGTTCTCAGATGAGTCTTCAGTGTGCTTGGTCTCGCATAACTTTTACCTATAACATACAACAATAACGAAAACTTATAAAAGGGTATCAATATAATCTGCACACATGTAAAAACTCATCGGAAATATAAGGACGATCAAACTGGATATTTGTAATTACTTCTCTGCCTAATTTCGGAACACAAGTTGCCTAAATTAGACCTGTAAAGTTACAGGACAAAATATTCTATCAATGAGTAAAATGTTTTGAGGCATTTCCTGACTTGCGACAATATATGGGATTTAGGTGTCTGCTTCCCTGTGGTTAGTAAATCAAGTATGTTACGTCTCTAGTTTTATACCGTTCATTATATTAACAATTTCATTTCTTAATAGAATTCGATTCTATCAATATCAAAATGAGATTTATCATTTCAATGCCTTACGTAATTATAAGATATCCATATATAAATTGCCGTTAATATGAGAGGATATGTCAAAATAATATTCACTATTTTTTATTCAACCAAATTATTATTTGTAAATCGGTAGGATCGGTTCTTGCAGCCTACTTTCTCGTATCTGTTACAATCATAATGATTTGCTTTCCTTTATGATTTTTTCTATGATTACGGCCCTTCGACGCACGATTCTTCTGCAATTTATGTTATTTTTGTCCAACCACTAAGCGTGCAATGACCGATTGAAACATATCCTTCATAAACAGATTCCATCGAAGGCAATATGTTGTGTCCAACCATTATTATTGTAATTTTTATTATTAATATAGTGTATTAACGAACTAGAGACATCCACGGCGCCTCAGTAAAACCTTTAAAGACTGATAGAGTCTTATTCAACCCATCGAAGTAAGTACCTTGTCTTGGAAAAGGACCCCAAGAGTACCAATTATAATAAACTTGTTTTAAACCAATTGAATTATTTAAATCCTAACTACTGAGATTCCAAAACGACAACACCAGACAATATTCCACTGTGTCCAGAATTCCATCTCTGGGACACGACAAATGACCAAATTGAAACATAGTTCTTAAACAGATTCCATCGAGAGCAATGACCGTTAAGAACAATCCTTCATATCTTGAACTCGAAACCAAGATTTTTTTTTAGTGTGCATTTGAGTTTAGTTTAGATGTGTTTATTGTTGCTCTTTATGGTCATTGTATGCATTTTGTTGTTAGTTCTTGCCTTATTTCTTCTAGTTGTTTTAGTATTTGAAATGTGCTCAACTACTGCTATTTCCTGAATAAGTACAATTATTTGGGTTTTATCTCGTATTCGGTTTATTTGCCGATTTGATTTGCTTACTTTTTTGTTGGTATTTCTCGCTTATTCCTCAATCTCTAATTTATCCTTTAGAATTTCCTTATTATATCTACTCTCGATCAACTCTATTTTACACTTTTCTTAATGTATTTGTCTCTGTATGTTATGTTTTTTTTTTAAATCTCTGTAATATGTTGAAAGCCAGAGGCCAGGACGAAGCGGGCCCTAACATTAACTTCAAATTCACTATCAAAAAAAATAGTAACAACTTATTTTTCCATTATGTTAGGAGAAAATGATTTGATAAGTAATAAAATAATAATAATAAAATTCTTTCATTTGATACAATAAACAAATTGTGTATTAAAAACTTACCGCAAATTCGGCAAACGTTAGGTTTTTGCGAGTCCTCCTCGAAGATGCTGTGTCTCCGTCGGGGCGGCACTCCATTGAAATTCGTCGGTTTATACTGCGTGGAAATGGCCGTGTTTTCTTGCGGTGGACGGAAATCGGCAGTGAAAGAATACGTTGTTCCTCCGTATGTAGGGCTCAGAAGACCCTGCGTCTGGTAGCAACTCATAGGCGTAGACACTTGTGGCGTAGAATTCCATTGGACCTGATCAATGCAAATTACATTAGACTACAAGAACTATACGGTTTATTTTTTGCATACCTGATGCGGGTACGAAATGTCCGAGTTGGGTGGATAATTCGTGGCAGCTGGATGGTATCCGTGCATGGTCATATTCATTGAAACGTTTACGGACATACTGGGAAACATGGGAGGCGCTTGGGGACTGAAGGGTTGCTCGCATATGGTGCTGGTGTAGCCGCCGGGTGAAAGCAGCACCTGAGGATGGTAGATGTGCTGTTGCTGCTGGTGTTGGTGCTGCGCTTCTTGCTGACTGGGATGGACCACCGCATGTTTCAATGAGAGAAGGACGTCGGCCACATCTGATGGCTGTTTGTTCTCCCTCAACAAAATTGACTGATTCTCTGTTCTGTTGAAAAAGCAATTCCATTATTGGGTGGATGCGCCGGGAAAACGTGTAAAACGATGGATACGTTATTCTCAACATTTATTTTTTCATTTAATATTTTTTAATCCGTATAAATGCGAAAACGTATAGAAAAAATACTGTGTATAACAAGGGACAGGTGTAATTTGATTAATTATTGTACATGTTTATATTTACTAGATTAAAGTATTTATTTTGATTAATAATACATGATTTTGCATGTTTTTTGATTTATTCTATTGTTATTTTCATTAATGTCAAAAAATTAACTTGTTCCATTATTTCGTAGAGAATTTATTTCGGCTCAAATCGTTCATTTCATGTCGAAAATAAATTTATTTCTACGTTTAAAAGCAAAAAACACAAACAAACATTCATATGAATTATGGTCTCCTCCAGAATTATTATACGCAAAAAAATTTTTTTTTGTTGAATCAACACCTATAAAATTTAAAAATTTATTTCTTTGAAACAAGCGTGATTGTGTAATTCTGTTTGTGCTATTTTATTACTTGGTATATTGTAAATAAAAGTACTAAATTTCATCAAAATCGTTGAATTTATTTTACGAAGAAAAACATCAATTTATTTTGTTTCTTTCAGGTTCAAAATAAATTATTTTTTGTACCCAAACGCATCCTAATAAGTTCTTTCTCACAAAATAGATTTTTTTCAAAAACAAATATTCTTAATAATTAAGCCATCCTTCTCCTATTTCACTACAAACAATATTTTTTGTTAAATTAGCCCCTATAGAATTTAAAAATTATTTTGTTAAACCAAGCGTGATTTTGAAATTCTATTTGCGATATTTTATTACTTGGCATATAGTAAATAAAAGTACCAAATTTCATCGAAATCATTCATCGCCTTTAGTTTGTCCCCAGATCTTCGTTTGTATCAATTCATTTTCGTTTCGTTTTAGGCCAAAAGAAATGCATTTCTACGCCCAAATGAAGTCTCCAAACTTTTGGAATTTGAAAATTAAGTAAATTTTAGATAAAATAGCAGCGAAATTATATAATAATTTAAATATTGCTTAGAGAAAAAGAATAAATTAGGGAAAAACTGAAATTAATATGTAAGCTAAGATTCTAATTAACCACAGTTTTTTGTCCGGAAAATAATATTTATATAATTTAATATAGCATAACTCAAACAGATTTAACATTTACCAATCATTTCATGGAAACAAAACTTTTTGTTTCTATAAGAAAACGTTAAAACGGATTTTTTGAAATCGGACTAATCAAGAAACTAAATACATACAAAATATATATATTGATTGTATAAAGAGAAAAGCCGTCGGATTGAAACTTAGTCAATTCGACGGCCGTAAAACCTCCCATTATAACTCTAAATGTTATATAATTTCATTTATGGTTTAAAATATGAATAAAATAGATTTATTGAATGTTTATGTATATTTTTTTTAAACATATTTAATTGAACAATAATTATTATTAAAGATTTATTGTTTGCTTGTTTTAAATATTATATGGATGCGCCGGGTAAATAAAGTGAAATTTCTATATTGGTATAAACTTATCATAAAAATAATAAATCTTGAAATTATTTTAAAGGAAATGAGTATATTGAAAAATAATTATACACAATAAAACGAAAGATGTGACAAAGATAATATGAATCATTCCAGGAAGAAAATTATAAGTTTCTAAAGTTAGTTAAATTTAGAAAAAAATATATTTTTATTAAATGCAAATGCAACAAAGTTTAATATTAAAAAAATAAGAAAAACTATGGGAGATATTTATACATTTATTGATATTGAAAGTTATTATTTTATAAGAAAATACTACTATTTAATTTCATTTAGATTTACTTAAGTAATAAGCATTTATATTATATTAACTTCAAAAAACTTTTATATAATATATGAAAACAATGAGTTCATCTTTATCTAGTATTTACAAATATTTGAAATTCTTTACTATTTATGATTTATTCTTGATAACTCTCATACATTTTTGAGGATATAAAAGATAATTTAAAGTTAATATTTAATATTTAAGTTAATAATTTATGTCTATCTAAACACCAATATTAAGAAAAAATTAAGTTTAAAAAATAATATTCATCTGTAACTTTTACTTGTATATTTAAAACAAAGTGTATATTTAATGAATTAAAAGAAAAATTGTGGATAATATTAAGTATTTTGAAAAAATGTGAATTTGTGGTTCAATAAAAGATGTAATTAGCAAAATAATAAATATGATAAATAATAAAATGTTCTAAAAGTGTTGTTAAATTTTTGCTTAATTATATAAATAAGGATTTTCGCATTAATATTTTTTTACTTATTATATAGATTTTATTCTTATTTTCTGATATATAATTTCCAAATATAAATAATGTAAGAGGTGTTTGTTTTTCATTTATATTTATTGTTTGCTTTACTATTTTCACCTGTAGAAAAGTTCAATAATTGTAATTATTTAATCGATATTAAACTCACTTGTAACCTATGTTATTCGGATTAGAGCAGGGCGAGAAAGGAAACAACGATGGTAACGGTTCTAAATCCAAGGGCAATGCAAAGGATCCCATGTCTTCGGTGGTCCAAGAGAGATCGTCCTGTGTTGAAATGGAAGGACACGTGCCGGAACCGGCGGCCACGGAACCGATGTTCTGGTTTTGCACGGCGGGCGTCCAATTGCACTCGAGTTGCACCCCGAACTGGGGGTTGTTAGGTATGTAACTGGGATCCATCCTCTCGCAGCCACTCCGCAGCCTCAGGAACAAGAACGACGATATGCGAAAAGCGATGAGCGCGACAAGGATGGACGACTTTCACGTTGACACAACGCTCTCAGGTATTCCGATTCCTGCGCCGCGATTCCTCCTGAAACGTAAACACATATCAGCAATAATTTACAGTTGAATACAGTATTAAAAATAATATTCTTCTAAAGAATGAATAAGTGTAAGTATATTACAAACATCTGGATTAATCGAAACAATCCTACGATTAGTTTGGTTTAAATTAATAGTACAGTTTAAAACCGGACTAATCAAACACTTTTGTTTTCAAATCGGTTTTAAAATAAACCGCACAAAAAGAGGCTTGACTCTATAAAAGGAAAAAAAATATGTATAAAAAAATCAGTTTTGTGAACTACTAGTGAATCAGGATTGATGGAAGCCGCACTATGTTCATATATAATGTGAAATTAGTAAAAATATGAACAAACTGAATAAATGATTTATATAAAATGTACTAAAAGACTAGAAAAATCAAAGTTATATTCCGTTCTTTATTGTAATTAGAAATAAATTCTTGTAGTACAACAATACCTTGTATAGTGCGGATAATCGGTTACGCCAATATACCGGACTGTTTAAAACTGCACAAAAATGTTTTTGCTGTATAAAAAGAACTATGCGAGGAATTACTGTATTGGTTTTCTTCAAGAGACTAACTAATCTTTTCTCAAACTCAATGAACTTTATACACTGTATAGTTTTCTTTTTGGAAGTCTAAATAGGATTATGCTAGTAAACAGGTATGATTCAAGCTTTAAGTATGTCTACTATAATGATGCATCTACATTGCGCTTTTACTCCAGACGATATTGACGTCATAATTGGAGAGTACGAAGTTATGCGTATATCTCAGAAACATTATTTTTTTTATTATTTGTATATTTAAATTGAGAAGTATAAATTCTTATTAACTTTCAAACCTTTACTAAGTTTGTGTACAATTTTGTCAGTTTCCGCCGAAACGAGGGTACTTCTGCCATTACATTTAAAACTATCTAGGTGGATGATATATTGATGGTAAGGAATGAATGGTCTATCATTGTAACTCATGAGATTCAGAATAGTCTGAGTTCAAGGTGTCACTTTTGTTCTTGATTTATTTTAGTTTGTGGAATAAAGTCTAACATCTTGATAGTTGTAGCTAATTCGGAATTTTAGATTTGAAAGCTTTTTTTTTTAGAAAGAACGTCGGCAACTTGACGGAACTATGAGGTCAACAAATAATTATTGTTACTAAATACAGTTACAAAAATTTACTTAAGTTGGTATACTTTTCTGAATAATATATGGTGCAATTACAACTCTCAGTTCAGCTTCAAAGTTATCGGTTTCCATGTCAACCAATTATTACTACTAACTGCACATTACAATAGTAAATCACGTGTTTTGTTTGAGTTGGTATGTCTTATGCATATTTATTTCTCATATCAGACACACGCATTTTTTACTAAAACAAACAAATTTATAATACTCATTTATATTTATTTAATTCAAATTTAAATTAACATTCAGGTATTTCTACTTCAACAAATACTGTTTTTTCTTCTTCTAATATTCATACTAGTTTCTAAGCAAAAGTATAATAATAATTCTAATTAATTTTGTTGATTATAAAAGCACAACTTCTCTTCCTTTTAAGCAATTTCTTAATGATATCGCTTATTTCAATAGAGTCAAAAATTAATGGAATATACATTGTTAGTATTCTTTTTAATTTATTTAGTTTTAAAAAGTAACTGTCATGGATAATTTTAAATATATTCTTAAAGTGATTAATATATTTGTAAAAAAAAAGTTCATTTTAAAATGTAATTTAGGATGCATAATACTTTTGTCCACAGATTTATAATGAAAATACTTTTTTTTCCTCTCTGTAGTAAATTATTGGATTTACATTCTGTTTTAATGATCATATGTTGAAGTGTTTCGCTTATAGTGAAATTTGGACTTTGCCGAATGTTTTATAATAGATATAAAAATAGTATTTTCCATCTTTCGCCATTTCTAATATGTTATGGCTAATTTGATCTCCTAAATAATGAGTTCAATTTAAAGAAAATCTTCTCGCATTTAGTTGCGACGGTTTTGATGAACATTATTAATTGAAATATAATTTAGATAACTTGATATGGTATTTATTTAAACAAAATCTCCTCGCATACTTGCACACTTAGTTGCGATGGTTTTGATGAAAATTATAAACTGAATACAACTTATATAGATAGCTTGACATTATAATATTTGTTTTATTTGTATCACATAAATATGTGTATAAAATGAATTCAGGCAAATACTATAAATTAGCTGTTATACGTGTAATTTGCCTAGTAAAAAAGTAATTTTCCTGAAATAACTAATTACCTGTGTAACCGGACAAAACAAAACAGATAAACAGTGGAAACTGAAACATGTTTTTTTTTTTGATATTACTGACATCATACACTTATTTAAAGAACTGTCGCTTTTATTGAAATATGTAATATTAAATTAACGTCATGTTAGTTGTAAAATGTAATGACCCTTAAATTATATTAACATGTCAAGTGATTCAAATTAACATTGCTGCTATTTGCTTATTGAATTTTATTTTAATAGAAATAAAAAAAATGTTTTTTTTATTGTATTTAGACTGCCCAAACATGGGTTTGACCAAAATTAGGACTAATAAAAATTTGAAAAAAATTATTGTTACTTGAACTGATACAGATTCTTATGTTAATTATTTAACAACAACAAAAAAAGATAATTATTTACTTTTGAAGGGCTATAAATCATGTACAATATTCTCCAGAATAATGGAGAAAACTGCGAATGATAATTGCGTTAAAGAGCGTGTTTTATTTGCTCCGGGGTCGTTTGTTCCATTGAGGGGGATGGGCGTGACGGAACGCTACGACCCTCACCCCACGCACGCTTGGCGCGACCTGCGATTGGTGGTCGCAGCATTTTACATCCCTAGTAACCAGCCGCCCATTGGCCGTTCCCAATTATTGATTCCCGACCAAAATGGCCGGATCTGCTCTTGCTAATTGAATTTAATTCGATTTCGCTCAGGATATTGCCAGTTCCGTTTATATTCTACCATCCACTTCCTCTCCTCATCCCTTCATGGCACACTTAACTGTATAATTGTATTCGAATCAATGCATCTTCTTTTATGTTTGAATACTTCGATCTTTTTCCTCTCTCGTCATCATCATCGCTATTTAAGGGATGGTTGCGATGGAGATGAGTTAATCGAGAAACTGAGATTTTGTGCTAGCTATAGAGACAGAAAGAGAGAGAGAGAGAGTGTATGTGGAGTGGAGTGTGTTGTTGGATTTTGTAAGGCTGCCCAATGAATCCCCAGTAATAAATTGCCCCGAACGTAACATACACACATTGGCAAGTTGTGGGGAGCAAAGATGAAGCCCGTGAACGGATGAAAGCGAAGCGTAAAAATACGGTTGGAATAAAATTGGAACAAAAGGGACCGAAAACCACCCCCCGACGTCGCGCTTTCATCACCGCCGCCGCTGTCGCCCTTCCACGATTCTACTTCTTAATTAATTATGTCATCGTAGTAATTAGTTCAAACGGAATCGATGCCATTGTCGCGCGAAACAATCGCAACGTTTCGTACTATTCTTGCTGCCCTCTATTGTTTGTAACAATTACTGTTTTAATTTTATTTGAATTAGTGAAAATACTTATTATTTAATGCATTGTTAGCATTTGAAAATAAATCTTTAAAAAAAAAAATTTCATTACACTGATTTTTAATACTTTTCTACTCCTTCCAGCAGTTATCAACTCTTAATATAATTTAAATGCTATTCAAAAATTATTATAAATGGTGTCCCAAAATTAACGCCAGATTTGAATATGCCGCCATTTGTATTTTATTATTTTTATTACAATCAATAGTACTAAGGTAAGCTGCAATGCGCTTACCTCAAATAATTTATAAGATTTTTGCAATTTAATAAATATTAAATATAAACTTAGACATGATAAATATAAATAAATAAACGACTATTTTTTAAATATATATCTTTATAACCGGTGGCAATCGCAAGCCCGCCAACCGAAATACCGTCAATCTAATTCTCGACGTTTGAAAACCCGACGTTCAAAATCCCGACTGTATTGAAATCCCGACAACCATAATCCCGACTGTATCAAAATTCCGACTATATCAAAAATGTCTTCAATAACATTTCAAAATTATTCCGGAGCGTAGTCACTTTTAAATTGTTATTAATAATAAATAACAACAATTAATAATCTAATTATATTTGGGATTATTTCATAATTTTAAGGTTTATTATTAATAATTCAACAAAATCAAATAAATTAATAATAATTTATTGTTATTAATAATAAAAATGTTGCAAAATGTGACTACGCTTCGAAATAATTTTAAAATGTTATTGTAGATATTTTCGATATAGTCGGAATTTAATTCAGTCGGAATTTTAATATAGTCGGGATTATGTTTGTCAGGATTATGGTTGTCGAGATTCTGATACAGTCGGGATTATGGTTGTCGAGATTTTAATATAGT